TCGACACCCTTTGATTCTGAGAGGGACACAAGACCAGGCCAGGTGAAGTCCATGCTGGTGTGAGTTCCAAGGAATTTAAAGGTTATCACCCTTTCCACCTCAGTCTCACCAATCTGCTGCACCTTCTGTGGTTGATAATTATCTCCTTGGTTTTGTCTTTGTTCATGTAGACATTATTTTGACACAATGCCACAAGTTCCTCCATGTTCTGTACTATGACTATAGCATCATCTTCAAACTTGACACTTGTGTTTTCCTGGGAGGCCACACACTGGCATGTGAAGACGGTGAGCAGCAGGGTACCCAGTTGACAGCCCTGGGGAGTCCCTGTGCTCAGTTCTTGTATTGGAGGTGCGGTTGCAACTCAGCACCCAGTTGAAGAGGGTAGGTGTTAGACCCAAAGAGGAGTTTCACTCAGTTTTAATAGTCATCCCACACAAACCCTGAGGTGAAGTCTATAAGGAGTCTTGTGTCCTTGCCTAAGCGCGTGATGATGTTCATGGGGTAGTCAGAGCAAACTGGTTTTGGCGATATGCAAGTGCAGCAGGTCTACGTGTGTCTGGGATAATGTTCTTGATGTGGGTCATGACTATCCTCTCAAAGCACTTCATCACTGTTGGGGTGAGTGCAACAGGACCAGTCATTTGGGCAGGTTACAATCTTTCTCTTTGGGAGGGGCAGAATTGAAGCTGGTGGGGACTTGTGATGGTTGTAAATGTCAGCGAGCACATCAGCCAGCTCTGATTGGATGAATTTGAAGACTACATTCAATATGTTGGCATAAAAATCTAGAGTGAATACAAGGACTTTGGCTTTCCATGCGTTTCATGTCAGTTTATTTTTGCTTAGAGCAACGGTCGAGCAACGGTCGTGAGTTTAAGCCACACAATTTATTTGCTACATTGTAATAACCACAGCAAATGCATATGAAAAGCCAGGTAAGGAATTCAGTGCAAGGAGATGGTACAGATCATTCAACAGTAACAGTTCCAGTGGGTCAGCTGAAGCAGGTTTGAATCTCAGATGTCTTTCATCCTGCCGGTTTCCTCTGGGGTCTCCAGCCAGGTAGGAGGCCAGCTGGTTTTGATGCTGGGTCTTTCCTTCAGGGAGTTATAGTAGGCTGCCAGTTTAGGGTAACGATCTTCAGATAACCTAAAGAAGAGCGAAAGGTTGATGTGAATCATTGCATTGATTTAAATGAAGACATTTTCTGATTTAATCCACGTACTGAAAATGGAAGAGAAAAGCGATGTTCGGGTAAACAGCCACATCAGCCAGTGAAAAGGTCTTTCCTGCAAGGAAAGGGCCTGGTCCCTAGAAGAGACAGTTATATTACATTAGCCAAAATAATCCAAAACTGGTACAACAGACATTCAAAGCAGTGCAGAAAACCAGACATTTCTAGCTTGTGTCGTGGTTCAGGTTTACCTTGCTCAGGTATCCCTCCCACAGCTTGACCTCAGCAGTCAGAGCCTCTTTGTTTCTCTTCACAGCACTGTCATGTCTCTCTCCCTCAGGGACCTTCCACTCGTAGTGCACAACGTGCACTGAAAAAGGAAAAAAAGGCAGTCAGCCATGACGGCTACGATCAAACCAAATCAACCAGCACAATAGGCTTTAAAAACTACACCCACATTTGGGCTTGGACAAACTGCCTTTATTGCCCTGGCATTTGATGAGCACAGGGTCACTTAAGAGTTTACAACACAACTGTTTTAACTGGAGACAGAAGCTCAGAAGTTGCCTCTACAGAAAATACCATAGCAACTATTTATGATTACAAACAAGATACATAATTTGGGAATGTAGCAACTCTTTACAACTCTCCCCAAAAGTGAAGTCCCATAAGGCCTCTGAGAGACAACAGCTTCAGCTGAGTCATAGAGTTTAACTAGGATTCAGTGTAACACCAGTTTCTGAAAATAAGAGAAACAGTTAAGTAACTTACGGATTTTCTCGATGAGCGAAAGACCCTCAAACATGCGCTGGTACATCATTGCTTGTTCAGCTGGGCATTCAGGGACCAGTTTGTTTCCCTGTCCTCCAAACTGGTTCTGTTTGGAGATAAGAAAGGAGGAACCATTATGAACAGTTTAGGGTGTCCGATGTCTACGAGGAGTCGTTCACAATAAACCCTCCTGATTCTATGGGGGTACACGGCTGCATACAAGTTTCAAAAAAGAAAGGAGTTCTTACCTCCAGGTACAAGCACGCAGCGTAAGAATCATTCAGGATAAAATCTTTATGTTTGAAGGCAGGAAGCTGTGAGGAAGAGTGGAATACAAACGTCAGGTAACAATTAATGTATGAAATGAAAAAGCAGTTTGAGACAACATGAAGATTTGCTTTTAGATGTGGACAAGGCAATAATTAGTATATCTTTAAATTAAAAAGATAATGTACCTGTCCCCTGGGATTCATGGCCATGACCTCTTTGGACTTATGCTCTCCCTTCATGAAGGAGAGCAGTTTTTGGTTGTAGCCCTGCAGCTTCTTCTCCTCCAGTGCGATCTGGATCCTCCAGCAGGGAGGAGAGCCGGAGCCCCACAGCAGAGTCATGTCCTTGGCCATGGTTGGAGAGTAAAGTGCTTCACCTGAGAGCAGAATCCGGGAGGTGGAAGAGGTAAGAAGTGAAGCGACAATGTGTGAAATGTCTGATTATATAGGAAACTCCTGTCGCTTCGCATCCTGATTGATGGAATTAAGCCGCATCCCATTTCTTTCTTTTTGCCAAAGATAGGTAACTCAAGACAGTCAAGGTAGTTCCCACCCTACCCAAACACGTAACATGCTTAGTTTATTAAGATATCTTCAAATCAATGCCGTTATATTGATAGCCAGCGTATTTCTGGTAAGTTAGTAAACCGATTCAATATGAATCATGCACCTGGCTCCAAGGATCCACAGGCTTGAGCATTGTCACACCTGGGAAGGAGATACTTCTCTTGCTTTGCATTTGCCCTTTGATATCAGCAGACAACGGAATGTGAGATAATGCACGCACACAAAAACCCACACAAATCTGACCCTAAAATATATATATTTTTTAAAGCGGACTAAAGGACATTTACCAAACAATTACACCTATAACCTCTATTTGTCATCAACAATCAGCGAATTTACTGAAGTTAGAAATTCACATTGAAACGTGTTTTTTCAATGACATTCCATCTAAAATAAAAAAGATAACATATCTGTGGAAGGCAACGTAAATAGTATATTGGTTCATTGCTTATAACTGACTGATTATAACTGTCATTGTGGGGATTTACTTAACTATTTATTGTTGCGTGCTCGCAAACTCACAACGAGTCAGCAATTTTCACTCACCTCTGCACACACCGAGAAAACCAGTTCTGGCAGTTGAAACTAAAAAGTCAAGTTGCTACTGAATGCAACAGACCCCACTGATTTATCATTATATAAATGTGACATTAATAACATGAAAACAAGCGTTTTACATTGCTTCCATTCACATGTTGTTTCTTTTATTCGGTTGGTCTTTGATCGTCATACATTGTGGACTCGCCAGGATCAGCAATGGCATTCTTAGGGTACATTTTACAACGACCATTTTTCCTCTTCTTGTGTGTAGTTGCATCAAGAAGACAACTTGTTTAAAGACAGACCAGGGTTTTTAAACAAAGCTTTCGGGGGAAGTGGCTAGAGGCAGATCAATCTGTTGCTAATATTGACATTGTGATGTCATTGCGTGATGGCGCCATTACGTAATAACATAAAAGCGCTTTATTACGTAGAGTACACAACAACGTCACTCAAAAAGACTGTCCATCTCGGCCAGAAATATGATTTGACATGTGTTAGTTTAGATTTGTTTATTCATTATCACATATTTCTAAATGTAGAAGTTATATAAACGCATTTTATATGATATTTTTATACACAACATATTGAGTTATTGAACGATTACACGTTACACATCATCAAATATTACATTTATTTTCTTCAACAGTAACTAGTAAACCTACACGTTCTGAACAATTACAGCTTTAAGCAGTCTATTTGTAGTTAGTGCTACCAAACTGATCAACAATTATAGGTATAAGCTAATAATAAGGTATATATGCTATTTTATTGAACAACTCAAATACTGATGTGTGCACTAGGCATCTCTCTCCAGCTGTCTCCGGGCTGTTGTGCAGCCGACTGCTGCCTGTGCACGAGCTGAGAGCCTGCTGTCACTCACAATGCACTTTTGCAGCCTTTTGTGTCATTTAGAAGGAAAATGCATGCATTTTAGCATTCCAGCCACCTTACAAAAGTGGCTAAAAATACCAAATGTGTTTTTCAAATATATATTTTTAGTTGCTTGGTGCTGTTTGAAAAAAGATTTGCCAGGGTAGTCTGACAAGTTGCTATGTTGCCAACACTGAGACCAACTTACTCATGAAAATGATTAAGTTAACTAAATATAAAAGGGAAAAAAATTAATTAAATTGTAAAGTCAAACTAAATTAAACTGAAATGAAATAACACTAAATAGACGCAGATCCTACCAACTGCTGAAAATTTTGCTTTAAGTATTCACGTTTCTAAACAAACCCTTAATGTTGTTTCATGTATGATCATAATTCTGCCCATTTTATGGCCTTCAGAGGACTTGTGACCTGGTGGCATCTTCATATCGTTTCATCTTCGATCTGAAATTCTTGACACTCAGACAAACACAAATCTTTGGCCTAATCAGTGCGGACGTGGTCTTTGTTGAATGTGGGCGTGACCTGGGGCTGTGCACGTGTCAGCTGATCAGCTCCATCTCGCTTGACAACTTCATATGACATTGGCCTTTTCTATTTGTGTAGCACACTAGAAAGGACGACGGTGTTTACAATGCACACAGGCTGTGCTTGCCATTCATGACTTGCATTTAATGTGTTGTTCTGTATCCGAACAACAATGAATTTGAAGACTACATTCAAATATGTTGGCATGGAAACCTAGAGTGTATACAATGACTTTGAAATTAAATCAAACACATGGAAAGTTGAAGCCAAAGTTTATTTATTTCTTAAAACACAAAAATGATTGTGAGTTTAAGGCACACAATTTAATAACCATAACCACAGAAAATGCATATTTCTTAAAAAGTGGAGCCAGTGCAATGCAAGGAGAGGGTACAGATCTGAACAGGAACACTTCCCATGTGTCAGCTGAAGCAGGTTTGAATCTCAGATGTTTTTCAGCTTGCCCGATTCCTCTGGGGTCTCCAGCCAGGTAGGAGGCCAGCTGGTTTTGATGCTGGGTCTTTCCTTCAGGGAGTTATAGTAAGCTGCCAGTTTAGGGTAACGATCTTCAGATAACCTAAAGGAGAGAGAAAGGTTGATGTCAGGAATCGGGAAACATTTATTACCATAATATGTCAGACATAACATACAAGGAATTTGACTTGGCAGTCGGTGCATGACAGCAGACAGTACGACAATGGACAACAAAACAACATAGTGCAAATATAATAAAATATAAGGCTAGTTTAAGAACAAAGGAATACAAGTTTAAAAAAGTTAAAGTTAAAAATAAAGTGCAGTAAACTTCCACGTACAAATGTATTTTTCTTTTTGTAAATCCCTGCATTGATTTAAATCGATACATTTTCTCTGATTCACGTACTGAAAATGGAAGAGAAAAGCGATGGTCGGGTAAACAGCCACATCAGCCAGTGAAAAGGTCTTTCCTGCAAGGAAAGGGCCTGGTCCCTAGAAGACAGACAGTTATGTCACATGACATTTTCCAAAAGAATCCAAAAAAACAGAACTCGTATAACAGACATTCAAAGCAATGCAGAAAAAACGTCATTTCTAGCTTGTGTCGTGGTTCAGGTTTACCTTGCTCAGGTATTCCTCCCACAGCTTGACCTCATCAGTCAGAGCATTTAGGTTTCTCTTCACAGCACTGTCATGTCTCTCTCCCTCTGGGACCCTCCTCTCGTAGAGGAAAACATTCACTGAAAAATGCAAAAAGGCCGTCAGTCATGACGCCTACTATAAAATCAACCCTCACAATAGGCTTTAAAAACTACGTCCAACTTTCTCCTGATGATTTGGTAATGTAGCACTCTTCTCTTTTGCAACTCTCCCCAGAAATGTCTCAAACACCGTCTTATGACTTGAGGCTTCAACACAAGCTAGTCTGAAAATGTATTCCTTTTAGAGATTACAATGACCTGACTACCTCTTTTAAGGGGGTGAATCTTGTGGACTTATTCATAATGCATGGTTGCATGGCTCAATTAGGTGGATTCACAGCTCATTAGTGTACGGCGTGTGTCTCAGGTCCCTCTGAGGACATATATACCAAGTCTCAGAAGATTCGCTAAACAAGGCGGCTCGCTGCATTACCAAGAGCAATGTAGTTCAAAGTCCCACAAGGCCACTGAGAGACAACAGCATCAGCTGAGTCATTGAGTTTAACTAGGATTCACTGTAAAAACACTTCATTCTGAAAATATCAGTAAAATAACGCACACATTATCTGGTTGACAGCAACACACACAGCCAGTTTAACTTGGATCCACAGAAAACATCAGTAAAATACTTTGCATGTCAGAAGTAACGTACTGATTTTCTCGGAGAGCGTGAGACACTCAAACATGCGCTGGTACATCATTGCTTGTTCAGCTGGGCATTCAGGGACCAGTTTGTTTCCCTGTCCCCCAAACTGGTTCTGTTTGGAGATAAGAAAGGAGGAACCATTATGAACAGCAGCAGGTTGCTCTGAGGTGCCCAGCTTATCTCTATGGTGGTATACAGCTGCATAAAACTTTTAAAAGGGAACAAGGGTTCTTACCTCCAGGTACAAGCACGCAGCGTAAGACTCATTCAGGACATAGTCTTTATGTTTAAAGACAGGGAGCTGCGAGGAAGAGAGTGGAATACAAAACATAAAATGAATGTCTGCATGGAAGGAAAAAGCTGTTTAAGACTACAAGAACATTTGCTTTATATCTGGGCAAAGCTTAAAAATAACTTACCTGTCCCCTGGGATTCATGTCCATGACCTGTTTGGACTTATGCTCTCCCTTCATGAAGGAGAGCAGTTTTTGGTTGTAGCCCTGCAGCTTCTTCTCCTCCAGTGCGATCTGGATCCTCCAGCAGGGAGGAGAGCCGGAGCCCCACAGCAGAGTCATGTCCTTGGCCATGGTTGGAGAGTGAGCGTGGAAGCCCGGAGTTGTGAGAGGTGGAAGGTGTAAGAGGTGATGCTAGAAGGTGGGAAATGTCTGATTATATAAGAAACTCCCGTTGCTTTGCATCCGGATTGGTGGAATTAGGGCCCATCCCACTTCTTTTCTTCCCATTCGATTTTTTTTCTCCAAAGATAAGTCAGTCAGTCAGTCAGTCAAGGTAGTTCCCACCCTATCCAAACACTTAACACGCTTAGTTATTTAAGATATCTTCAAGGAATCAAGGAAACATGAGGTCATATTAACATCCAGCGTATTTCTGTTAAACTAATATGATGTAATATGAATCATGCATTTAGCTGCAAGTGTCCACAGGCTTACCTCTATTTGAAATTAACAATCAGCGGATTCACTGGAGTTGGAAATTCACATTCAAATGTGTTTTTTCAATGACATTACAACTATCATGACAAGATAACATTGACAATTATGTACATTTCTTATGTTTATGACTATGGCTATCTTTGCAGGGATTTACTTACTTACTACTACAGTATTTCTTGTCGCGTGCTTGCAAACTCACAGTGACTCAGCAATTTTCACTCACCGCTGCACACACCAGAAAAACCAGCTCTGGCAATTAAAGTAAATACTGAAGTTGCTACTGAAGGCAATAGACTCCACTCATTTATCATTATATAAGCATGACATTTATAAAATGAAAACATATGTTGTTTCTTTCATTCAGTTGATCTTTTGAACTTCATACATTGTGGATTTTTTCATTGCTCCTCTTCTTATGTGCAGTTGCATCAAAAGACAACTTGTTTCAAGTCATATATATGTACAACTGAAAATTCCTGATTCCTTCCCACTGCACCACTCATACAGAATCAGTCCTAAACATTGTAAAACAAAAAAAGATGAAAACTAATATTAGTTTTATTCTGTCTCCTTTTTTCATTTATTGTGAAGTTAACTACTGTCACCCGAGTTATGTGGTCACGTTATTTTTCAGTCTGAAAGATCGGTCTTTACAATTTAATAAATTCTATTATTATTTTTTCGGATCCCTTTTTTCTGTGTTGTAGTATTTCAAGCATTTATGATTACGGTCTATCTGAATTCTTAAAAAAATAGCAGCAGCAGTTCTTTCCCGAGCAAATATCATCTTATTACAAAGCCTCAACGGGCTACTTTTAATTTTACTAGTAAAGCTTGTTTTCTTCCACATGGGAAGATTTGCCTTGCTTTTTTCCTTTCAGATCCTTGATTTCTTTTCTTCGTGGAGGTCTCTGGTGCTGACACCCATTAAAGGGGAGGGGAGTTGGTTTTGCATCAGAAACCTCCAAAACCAAAGTTAGTATAAACAATTACAGGAGTACTGCAAAAAAAGTTCACTGAAATTGAAAAGGGCGAACATGAAACCCAGTATGATCAGTGAAACTAAATCTAAGTGAATTTAAACAACACCAAACAGATGCTTGCTGCAGCGTCACAGAAACCTGCCCATCTGGATCCTACTAACCCGCCCGTATGCACAAGTCAGCTAAGCGAAACCAAACAAGCATCCGGTTTTCCACAGAAAATATTCAACGTACCGTCGACAAGTTACTGCCGACACCACGAGACAGAACGTCGTGTACTGCCGAGCTACAGCGCTAATCACCATCTGTCTGAACCTTAACAACGCCATCTCTGCATTGTTGCTCTGGGAGGACGTAATTATGCAAAACCTGTTCACACTCCCTTTTCACAACTGCCGTCTGGACACTGTGCATTGCAGCGTGAAAGCAGGTGTGATTGATTTAAATGACTTGTGATCCTATTACATTCATTGTGGCGCAGTCATGCCAGTGCACAATACGGCCCTGGTCACATCTAACGTTATTAATTGTACCCGTTGTGGCATCACAAGGGGGACACGTGGCGGAAGGCACCCAGGATCGGCGGCCCCAACCCAAATTGGCCCGCTGCCACACGCACTACAGCCCCCAGAATGCCTCACAGAACACCCAGCGGTAGGTGTTTAAGCCGACCGTTTAAGGCAGGGCTTAAAAAGCCAGCGCACCCGGCAGGCAAAGGGGAAAGAACGAATGGAGAGCACTGAGCGTGGCGGAAGGAAGCCAGGCGAAGACCAGCGCATTTTTGCACCCCCCCCCCCCCCTACACCGAGTTCACCTTGCAATGACCTGTCAACATGGCTGCCTTCGAAAAGGGCCCAGTGAGCTGCAGGCACAACAACAAAAATCCTCTAAACCCACGAGGAAATGGACCAAACAAGCTGTTGATGCATCAAATAAAAGTATTTGAGTGAAATGAAAAACTCAAGTTTGAGCAACAGTTTATCGTGGGGAAGAGGAGCAAGGCAGCTTTTAAAAAACCTAATCCTAAAGTATTCATAGTTCCTCCTATTTTATGGCCTTCAGAGCACTCGGTCTGAATAGAAGTGGTGTCTGACTACGTTTCATCTTCGGTCTGATATTCTCGCCACTCAGACAAACACAAATCTTGGCCTCATCAGTGCAGACTTGGTCTTTGTTGAATGTGGGCGTGACCTGGTGCTGTGCACATGTCAGCTGATCAGCTCCATCTCGCTTGACAACTATGACATTGGCATTTTCTATTTGTATAGCACAGTAGAAAGGACGAAGGTGTTTACAATGTACCTTACGCACAGGCTGAACTTTCCATTCATGACTTGCATTTAATGTGATTTTCTGTATCCGTGCGCCCGGGATGCAAAACGTGATGGACTGCTACCACGGTGTAAATAAAGGATGAATTACTTGATGCTGTGTTAAAACTCTATAGGCAGTTACCTGCTAAATCTCATTTTAATATTTGTCTTAAAAATGGCTTTTATTTTGAAAGTTCACCCATTTCTGCTCTAAGCCGATTGTCAGCATGCATGTAGCATGACCATAAGCATTTACGGTTAATTCAACAGTATTGCCATGAATTTCGGACCACTGAATTGCCCATTCGCAGGATACTGGTTTGATGCTCTGCCTATTAGTCTGGTTTCCAGAAACTAATAACAAATAAGACTTTTATAAGATATGTTTGAACTATGAAGTGCTACTGAGAAGCATTTAATAGTTATAAAGATGGCCATGAGTATCAGGATGCCGGGTTCTTCCTCAAGAAACATGAACCCATGCTCATTTAACACGTCGCAAATGCATAAATCGTTTTTTGTATTCAAATAATAGACAGTCAGTAAAGTGGCGCTGCTCTGCATTCAAAACAAAATAGGACATTTGCCTTTCATGTAAACAAGCTTCTCTCCGCAATGCAAAGTCACGCCAACACAGGATATTTCACTTACCTTTGAGCACAGACAACCGGTTTAGGCCCGGCCATTGGAACAATAAAACCACCTGGTCATTGAGACTTTGCCTTACTGATAAGGGTTTACAATGCAATACCCTAAAGGGTTTATAGTGCAATACCCTAAAATATGTCTTACTCAGCCGTGACATTTATTTGGCTTTTGTTGTTGTATATTAAAATATAAGATATCTAAAAAAAAAAAAAAAGGTTGAAACCTATGAAACCAAATCAAAGGAAGACTCAAAATCCATTAAAACGGTTAGTAGCTTTTGTTTATATCAGTCGACAGACACTGATGTTAAATATACGGGCAGTAGATCTTGTATCCAGTGTAAAGCTCCCATGCCAACAGCACAATTCTGAAGTTTAACAAAAACCTGTATTCATTAACGGATTCATTGGCAGCGCTTTCACCGAAAACAAATACTGCAAAAACTCAACCTAAAAACAAAAGCTAGAAGCACAATTAGGTCGGAGCACGAACACTCAGAACTCACTGGGAATTACAACGCTTCCTTATCCATTAACAGAAATTACTTAAAAGAGCTGTATCCTATTTGAACAAACTGAGCTGCAACTGCAGTATTTTCATCAAACTGCTGTGAAGACGCGCGTGGCGGCTCTCAGACGTCTTGGAGTCCGCCGTCGCCGTTGGGGTTCTCCAGCCAGTGAGGAGGCCAGCTGGCTTTCACGCTGGGCCGCTCCTTCAGCAGAGCGTGGTACTTTGCCAGTTTGGGGTATTTCTCTGCGGACAACCTGAAGAAAAGAAGGTGGGAGGTATTTGAGCTGCCGTGGTAAGAGACACGCAGCCCCCCCCCCCCTCCCCCCCTCGCTCGGTGGTGCCCGAGTTCAGGAAAGTTGCGACGACCTCCTCCCACTTACCCGTATCGGAAAAGGGTACCGACAGTCGGAAAGATGGCGGCGTCAGCCAGAGAGAAGGACGGTCCGGCCATGTGGGGGCCCACCTGTGACAGAAAGATGGTGGCAAGTAAAGCTACAATTGAACATGCCAGTGTGTGTGTGTGTGTGTGTGTGTGTGTGTGTGTGTGTGTGCGCACTGTAAACAGTTACCTTCTGCAGGTAACCCTCCCAGAGCTTAAGCTCAGTGGCCAGAGCTTCTTTGTTCCTCTTTACAGCGGAGTCATGCCGCTCTTCTTCAGGGACAAACCAGTCATAGTAGATAACTGCAGCTGCAAAAAACATATTGCTTCAAACGTAGCATTTCAAAACAGCAATCCTTCATTTAAATATGCTTATTTAAATTAAACATAAGCATGCATCCTCATGCTGAACTATAAAGCACAGTTCAGTTATAATTGTGTAACGATAATGGGTGGAGGGCCACTTAAGGGCCGGATCGCACAAACATTTCTAGTTACGATATCAGCGCACAAACATGTTGCAAAAGAGCTGCTGACCAAAGTAGGCCAACTGCAGAAAAATAGGAACAACCAGCTCCGGTCTGAAACTGCCGAGCATGCAGGCCTTTAAATATCCACCATATTCAGAACAACATGTCCATACATGGGGCTGCACCCCAGCTCTCACACGCAAACACATACATCGCAAAACATCCTAATATGCAGTGGACGAGTGATGATCCGAGAGCCTGGAGGGACGGACATCCCTGCGCTCCAATGAGGCTCTCTGAGGGTCCTAAACAGGAGCCACCTCCATCATAGTAAACCAATTAAAAATTCTCTTAAAGACTATATAATCCGAGCGCACTCTCTATTAAGCGCCTTTTGGCCCTGGCCTTTGGCCTTTGACCCTGGCCTTTTCTTTGAATGGGTCCGTGCACGTTAAACTGGCCTTTTCTTTGCACGCTAAACTGTTTTTTTCCTTTGCTGTTGCTAAATAGCTTGAAATAGGTCCGTGCACGTTCAACTGCAGGACAGAATACTCTTGTCACAAATAAACATTGCGATATTGCTTTGATTAAAGTCTCCAGCCTAGTCCTTGTTTCTCAGACACGACACTACCATCAATATATCTCCGGTTACTAAAAATAGGTCAAATATATTTAGTATTATTTAATTAAACTGGTTCTGTAGTTTATAGGAAATATTACAGAGGAAAGCCATGGGATATCTCATGGTGACCTTTTAGCCGCGGTTAAACACACATTTAATGCACTTCGGATTATAAAACAGCAACTCAAAATAAACAACGTGCCCATGTTCATGAAAGCAGGTCGCACAAACACACAGATGCCCCGGGCCTTTTACCGCTCTTTGGGATTACTGGGTTTTGATTCATTCCTTACTGAGTTTTTCGTAGAACGTGACGCCCTCAAACAGCCGTTGGTACATCAGGGCTTGTTCAGCAGGGCTGTCCGGGATCAGCTGATTCCCCTGAGACTTGAACTGACTCTGCCGCCCGGAGGAGAAAGGAGACACACAAAGCACGAGGATGAACTTGGGGTTTGCTTCCATACAGCGGAAGGGTTTGTCAAACTCAACTCACCTCCAGGTAGAAACAGGCCGCGTAGGACTCATTCACGATGACGTCTCCGTGTTTGAAGGAGGGAAGCTTCAAAAAGGAGACCACTATGTGAGAGGGTGTCAAACCACGTCTCCATCAAGTGCATACATGGCTGGAGGAGCAGGAATTAAGACTTAATTAAGCGTGCACCTGCTTTAAAAAAATACATCCCCACCTTTGCATGGTCGTTAGTATCTAATAATGTGCATTTTGAAGGAAAGTCCCCTGAGCAGGGTGCATTTCAGTCTAAATTGTCCTCATAAAACCGTGAACCAGGCAGTGACACGAATCAAACCACGTGACGAGTCACGTTTCAGCAGCTATGGGGGGGTTTGTTTGTTTTTGGTGTGTGACGTCAGTTAACGCAGCAGGCCGTCGGGCCTCCATTTACCAGCCCGCAGGTCAACGGTGGACTTAAGGCTACCCCGTACCTGTCCCCTGGCATTTATGTCCAACACTTCTTGCGACTTGTGCTCCATCTTGTCGAAGGAGAGCAGCTTTTGGTTGTAGCCCTGCAGCTTCTTCTCCTCCAGCGCGATCATGACCCTCCAGCAGGGAGCCGAGCCGGAGCCCCACAGCAGAGTCATGTCCTGGGCCATGTTCGGAGGGTGAGACGCGATACACCGGACGGCTCGAGGCGAGACTGCACGCGCGCACAGATAGCGGGTTCGTTAAACGGATTTCGTTCGCACTCTTTCCGCAGATAACGGGCACTTCTTCTTCTTCTTCTTCTTCTTCTTGTTCTTCTTCTTCTTCTCTGCGCATCACCGCCACCTACTGTGCAGGAGTGTGGACCAGAGTTCCCCACCCCCTTCATACAATAAATAATGTAATTTATATTTATAATTCATTCATAAAAAAAAATGCAAATACGTTTAACCGTTTACGTCATTTCAGATATTGTAATACCTCTTCGTGCTCCCAAAGTAAATTCCTCTACCACCGGTTTTCTCTTCAGCTTGTCTCGCTCGAGTTTGGACTTCATGGCCTTTGAAAAACAACATGCTCCACCGTTTCTACTGTTTGCAGTGCTCACACAGGCCAGTTGCGTGTATATTTATTGTGTATATTGCATTCTTTGGTTCAGCCTTGATTGTCCAATCCCCAGCCTGGTTATTAATATGTTTTCATGCAGGATGCGCCCCCCCTCTGGTTGTCCTCCTTTTCTAGCCTTGATTCTGAATTGCTTCCTGTCTTAGGATCTGTGCATGCTGGGGTAAATGATTGTGGTGTTGTCTGTAGACTATCCTCCACCATTCCTGCAATACACCTTTCAACTGCTTGGGTTTTGTTTTAAAAAATTATCAACTGAGCAACTGTGTCGCTGATAGCGGCGCTGTAGAAGTGAATGTCTGATTCAATGCCATATCTCTTGCAAGTTTTTCAAAGATTGCATGCAAAGCATTATTCCTTCCCCTACATGGCAGAAGCACTTTGTGGTTGGATTCTTTTGTCCTGTATGTCCCTGACAGATTGGCCCAATAGTCTCAAATGCAGCGTCATCTCACCCACCTCTCACCTCGGCGTTTCAATGCGAGCGTCTATCGTCGCTTAGTGGTCAGGAGGAGGTATTACAGGGTGTGGTAATTTCCAATAATTTCCCTTCATCAGAGCTTTAATCTTGGTTTTAAACCAATAGACCTTATTATTATTATTTTTCATAAGAATTTAGAAAATAAAAAATAATTAAATAATATTATAATAAGGTGTGGAGTCTGTCCTTCTGCGGTGCAGTTTGTGCCTCTTTATGGTCAGTGAGCCTGTGCAGTAGCATAATGTCACGCAAAAGTGTTTAAGCCACACAATTTAATAACCACAGCAAATGCATATTTCTTAAAAAGTGCAGCCAGCTAGAACAATGCAATGCAAGGATCATACAACAGGAACAGTTCCAGTGTGTCAGCTGAAGCAGCTTTGAATCTCAGACGTCTTTCATCTTTCCCGATTCCTCTGGGGTCTCCAGCCAGGTAGGAGGCCAGCTGGTTTTGATGCTGGGTCTTTCCTTCAGGGAGTTATAGTAGGCTGCCAGTTTAGGGTAACGATCTTCAGATAACCTAAAGAAGAGAGAAAGATTGATGTGAACTTTCATTTACGAATGATTTATTCCGGTGCATTGATTTAGACAATCATCTTATTAAGACATTTGCTCTTATTTAAACCACTTACTGAAAATGGAAGAGATAAGCGATGTTCGGGTAAACAATCACATCAGCCAGTGAAAAGGTCTTTCCTGCAAGGAAAGGGCCTGGTCCCTAGAAGACAGATAGTTAAATCACATAAAACATTTCTTTACTCTGTACAATAACGAGTGTAAAGTGTGTAAAAATCAACAAGTTGAACCGACAGTAATAACTAGGGTTGTCACGACACTCACAATACGATACCAGAATTCGAAACTACCAAAATACGCTACCGGTATATTTATCTATAACAGTAATTAATAGTTCCCTTTTTGTCCAGCTTAACAAAAGGCATTAATATTATTATTAGCCTGCAGCAAGATATCAATGACATTGACTATACACGGCTATGTAACGTAGCCAAAACAGCTTTTTTCATTGGGAAAAATCTGATTTTACTATAGATTCTAAAGCATTATTGGTGAGCTTTAGTTGAAAGTAGGGGGATTTTCTCACCTGGAAAGAGCCAGACATCGACCTAAGCTAAGCATCCTCTGTGGCTCTGCATGCCTTTTAATAAAGAATTTGAGTGCAAGCTAAGGACTTTAAGCTTTAACATTTTCCTGATTCCTGATTATCTTAAATAAGGTGCTTCAAAAGTATTAAAAAAAGAAACCTAAAACTGATAGAATAGACATCCAAAGCAATGCAGAAAACCCTTAATTTCTAGCTTGGGTCGTGGTTCAGGTTTACCTTGCTCAGGTATTCCTCCCACAGCTTGATCTCAGCAGTCAGAGCCTCTAGGTTTCTCTTCGCAGCACTGTCGTTTCTTTCTCCCTCAGGGACCTTCCAGTCGAAGTAGATATTCGCTGAAAAATGTGAAAGGCAGTCAGTCGTGACAGCTACTATCAAATTGAATCTACCCTCATAATAGGCCCTAACGCCCACATTGGCCCTAACGCCCACATTGGGTGATTTTTTTTTTTCTGATGTGTAAGCACAGGGGTTATTTAACGAGAGTTTACGCAACATCCGTTTCTTCTCAAGACATTGGAGGTGGCTCAACTAAAGTTTGAAGCTGCCTGAAAATATATTAGCTGAACTACTTATGACCAAGTTGATCGTTGTGTACCACACGGCCTCTGAGAGAGAACAGCATCAGCCAGGTCATTGAGTTTAACTAGGATTCACTGTAAAAACACTTATTTCTGAAAATATCAGTAAAATAACGCACACATTATCTGGTTGAGTCCTACACACTCAAACATGCGCTGGTACATCATTGCTTGTTCAGCTGGGCATTCAGGGACCAGTTTGTCTCCCTGTCCCCCAAACTGGTTCTGTTGTTTGGAGACAAGAAAGGAGGAACCATTATGAACAGCTGCAGGTTGCTCCGGTTTCTTTTCCCCTGGAAGTGCAGGGTGTCCGATGTCTACGAGCCGTTGTTCACAATGAGCCCTGCTTATTACTTCCATGGTGCTACACGGCTGCATACAAGTTTTATAGGGGAACGAGTTCTTACCTCCAGGTACAAGCACGCAGCGTAAGACTCATTCAGGACATAGTCTTTATGTTTAAAGGCAGGGAGCTGTGAGGAAGAGAGTGGAATATGAATGCCAGGTAACATAAAATGAATATCTGCGTAGAAGGAAAAAGGAGGTTCGAGATGACAAGATTTGCATCATATCTGGGTGATGCTTAAAAAGAACTTACCTGTGCCCTGGGATTCATGTCCATGACCTGTTTGGACTTATGCTCTCCCTTCATGAAGGAGAGCAGTTTTTGGTTGTAGCCCTGCAGCTTCTTCTCCTCCAGTGCGATCTGGATCCTCCAGCAGGGAGGAGAGCCGTCGCTCCACAGCAGAGTCATGTCCTTGGCCATGGTTGGAGAGTGAGGTGCTTCACCTGAGAGCGGAAGCCCGGAGTTGTGAGAGGTATAAGATCTGAGAAGTGAGGCTACAATGTGTGAAATGTCTGGTTACATCAGAAACATCAGAAATGTCTGATTATATCAGAATTCTCTGGTTATATCAGAAAGTCGCTTTGCATCCTGATTGGTGGAATTAGAACCCATCCCATTTTCTTCGTCTTCTCCAAAGATAAGCAACTCAAGACAGTCATGGTAGTTCCCACCCTATCCGAGCACGTAACACGCCTAGTTTATTAAGATGTCTTCAAATCAAGGCAACATGATGTTAAATTAAATGACAGAGTATTTCTGTTAAATTATTGCACCAATTCAATATGAATCATGCATTTAGCTGCAAGGATCCACAGGCTTGAGCAACGTAACACTTGGGAAGGAGATACTTCTCTTGCCTTGCAAATACTCTTTGATGTCAGCAGAGGACAGAATGTGAGAACATGTAAGGACACAAAAAGGAACGAATCTGACGCTAAAACATGTACGTTTGTGGCCCCTGCAGCTTCTTTTCTCTCCACAGCGATCATCAGTCACCAGGAAGGAGGCGGATTCAGTCTCCCCAGAACGGTCTCATCAACTTGACCAAGGACATACACTACAGGCAGAGTACAGACAGAAGTCAAAGTAAGAAAAAAAAACAAAAGGACTCAACATTAAAGTGAAATGAGAAGCATTTATGCAATTTATGTCCCCCTCGTTGATCCAAAGGTTGGTCAGCAGGGACGTGTTGTAGTGTGTGTTCGGGAAACCGGGAAGAACGACGTACACATGCTTTTTTTCCCACTCAATGTTTTTTTTTAATTTTATTTCTTGCAGTGCAAATACACAGCATTTCAAGTGAAAGTGATTGCAAGCGTCCTTTCGTGTGCAGCTCACGACGTTACATCTACGCAGCAATATTTCCCTGTCTTTGTCTTACTGTGAGAAGAGCAAATGTATCAGCTGAGACGTACATCATCCACACACGTTTCAAGTTCATACAAAGTACACCGTGACCACGGAGTTCAAAGTAAATGACCGAATACCGCTTCTTCTCTCTAAGCAACATATTTCTGCTGTGAACATTTCTTATTTATTGCAATTCACAGATTAGCCTCTTTTTACCCTTTCTCTCCGACTATAATACAGGTTTCTACAGAAATTACAAAAATAATACATCACATGAAACGCACTAAACACGCACACTGTAGTACAAGAGAACTTAGTACCTGGCAGCTGATAAGGGCCTTCAAAATAGATTATTACAATTTTAAAAAATGTCCTTTTATTTTTTTCATTTAATCTTTTTACACTTTACAAACATTTCCTCGGAGATAAATACGTCCTTGCGTCTGTGTGTTTGTGAATCAGTTTCAGCATCTTAAACTTCTTAATGTCCGAGCTTTGAAAATAAATATTTTGCCAAAATAAAAAAAAAGTCTTACTCGATATAACGACACCTGTGAATGTGACATTGGTGAGTCATGTGATGAGTGGGAGGCGACTGAAACAAGGTGGAGAAGAAGAAAGGCACATCTGATCACGTTGACAACCTTTCACGTTCCTGCCACATGTCGCGTGTAGACTTGTCCCTTGTCGAACGTACAGGTACACGTATTTTGCCTTTATAAAAATGACAATCCTCAGTTAGCCTCTTTGTTTCGTAGACATCCCTTGTGCTCTACTGGATAAGAGAAGAAATCAAACTTTTCTTCAGCCCGTTAATCTTTACAACCAAAATTCACAGCTTTAAATAAAAGGGGAGAGAAAAAACGTAAAAAGTCACAGCTGCAGAAACTCAAAAGCCAAAATGATCCCTTTGGACAAATGTAACATTTCATCTTTATGTTTGGATTTAAAAAGCATCCATTCCTTTCTTTGCCAAGATGAATACACCAGTTTCTCCTTCTTCACCGCTGCAGCTTCATCCCGTTAGGCAAAATCAGCAGCTGGTAAAAACTTAAAGGTTTTGCGACTGGTGAAATCCGACTCTGAAGCCCGTCGTAGGCGGACGGAGGTGTCGCAGAGCTGCGTTTCCACCTCAACCGGGACGGGATTACATTTGTGGTTCCGGGGAATCGGAAAGTCCTAAAGCGAGAGCTTCCTCTGGGGTCAGGCCGCTCTTCAGGGTCCGCCTCACTGTGAGGAGAGAAGACGTTACGTCCCGTGATCACAGTCATGATGCTGTTTTGCACAGTGAATTAATATTTACTATCACTATTGGATAAATAGATCAACACAGCCCTACTTTATGCTAGATACACATTCTGAATATTCTTTGTCCCTCACGTGACTTGCGGTTGGCCCTGGACCTCCTCCTCTCTCTGGGCTGGGCTCTGGTTCCTGGACCCTGAGTGGCCGACCGCACTATCCGCTCCATGATCTCGTCCGCAGAGTCGTCTCCGCAGACCTGAGCGTCCTCCACAGGCGGAGTCCGTGCCGGCATGCTGCGACCTAAACGAGTCACGCCGGTTAAAAACCACGGACAGAAGAAACCTCGGCTGTGGCCTGCAGTGACTCCTCGTTTGTTCCCCGTCGTTCCCATCACACCCACCTCCCCGTCCGGGCCGGGACCTCGTCCGCGTCCGAAGCCCCGGCAGCACCACGCTGGCCTCCTTGTCGCCGGCGCCGCCGCCGCCGAGGCTCGTCCTCAGCACGGCTTTCATGTGCTCGTGCTCGGCGACGTCCTCGGTGTGGCCCAGGCCTCGAAGAGGCTCCGCCTCCTGGCTGCCGCTCGGGCCGCCGGCGCATCCGCTGGAGACGTTCCGGCCGCACTGATGAGGGGGAGCGAGAGTACGAGAGGATGAGGATACAGCGGGTTGTATCTTAAAAATAATTGGGCTTTAAACTCAAAACACACGCCAAAGTTGAAGTGCTGAGAAAAAATGAACTTAAAATCAGTAAGAGTTCAATTGTAAACTCCAGGGTCCAGTCAGGGTTAATGGCTTCATGCACACAAACACACATGCAGACATTCTGCACTCGTGTTGATACCTCACTCTCCTCTTCATCATCAGACTACAAGGGGGAAAGAAAGAGTGGAAATGAAGAACGCAATCCGTCGGCAGGTTAGGAAAGAGAAGAAGAGTTGACAGGCTGAGTGCAAAGGGGCTTCAGTGTGGGAGTGTGTGGGAGTGACGCTCACAGGGGCGTTGACGTCCATGATCATCTTCCCCCGGGTCTTGTTGCGTTCGCGGTGGTCGGCCCGTTTCTGTTTCAGCTGAAGCACGCGGTCGCGGGTGGTGCGGTACTCCAGCGCAAACTCACTGAGGATTTTACTGAACCGGTGGACGCTGACGTCTCTCACGCTGTAGGCCGGGTGACCGAGGAACAACAGGAACGAATGGAACCTGCGAGGGGAGGAAAAATCAGAAAAACTCATTTACCCGTCAATTTTTTAAAGTCCTTTTGGGAAATATTTTGTGTAGTGAAGTGAAAATGATTCAGCAAAGTTTCACTAGACAGGTGAAATTTGCCACTTATACTTACTTAATTACTTTTCCACTTTCAGATAATGGACAATTTACATGGTGAATACATAGTTTTAGATAATAACTTTTAAGTACTGTGAATAAATACATAAAATATCATTAAAATGGCTAAAAATAATGACTAGAAGTGTGTGATCCAATGGTCTGATCTATATTTCTTACTGAAATTTTAAAAATGGTGTGGTGTTGTTAGAGATTTGGTGAAAATACACCTGGATTAATTAACGCTTACACGAAACACGTTGAAGCGAAGCGATCATTCAAAACTGAATAAGCTTTGCTAAAAGTTACAACTTCATTAAATAAAAGTCTCTTTCCATCGTCCAGCTGCACACTAATGGGCCAAATATCAACACTATGATCTTCTGTTGTACTTGAATTTGTGCCACAATTGTAAATAACACACATGCAACGTATTTATCATCAATGCTATAACAATATCAGACACAATTACCAAAATTAAATATATTTAATGTATTGTATCATCAAAATTGCCCTCAATTGTTGCGCACCCTGAAGAGAAAAGCTAAATCGTTTTTATATTATTCAAGTGTTTTCACAGGTGCACTCTGGGAGCGGGTGATTGATAATTGATTGTGTTTGGTCAGCTATACACACAGGGAGGTGCGATTACTTTTGAATGATGTCCAAGGTAGATGACTGCGTATTGATGTTTGTTTCCATCACATCAGTAATTGCACCATACTTTGTTGGTGGGGGGGGAACTACCTGTTGATGATCCTGCGGTGGACAATCTTCAGGATGATAATCCTCTCAGCGCAGTCCTTGAGGAAGTCGGACATCTTCTGCTTCAGCTGGGGCTTCATCTCGTGCTTGGCGATCACCTTCAGGTGGTCCCAGGATGCCTTGCAGCGGCGCTCCATTTGACACAGGTTCTCCTGCAGCTGGTCGAAATCCACCTGACAGGAGAGACACAAATAAGGGGCTCGTACAGGCAGGCTGCTTTACCTCAACTTTGACGTATTCCTCTTTACATATATATGTTTTTAAAAAAAGGGTTTTCAGCGGGGGCGGTACGTACTTTTGCGGATCGCGTGATGGCTCCGATCTCGGAGTAGAGGTCGGTGCTCTGAGGGAAGTTCTCCACCACCACAGAGCAGGCGTGATGCAGCAGCGACTGCTTGTGAACCGTGTCCTTCACCTCTGCGACCTTCTCCAAATATGTCATCTCGAAGCCCTTAGCCTGAACGCGTGGACATGCAAACATCATGAGCAAAGGGAACAGGCAGGAAAAAAACAAAACAATTGCCAGAAACTACAGAGAGAAAAGCCGCTGGTGGTCGTATCGCAGCGGAATGAACCTCCGATGGTCATAGCTCACGTTTGTGCCATTGAGAAAGTTCCCCATGGAGAGCAGCGTGGAGAGGATGTAGCGGAGGGTCTTGTTCTTCTCCAGCTGTTCCATCCCCTCTTTCAGATCCTGCAGCGGCTCTGCAACTTCCTGAGCGGAGGAAAACACACACACACACACATCATTAGCTGAGTCGATTAAGACTCCTGAAAACACATGTTTTGTCAGCAGGTGCAGCTCCTCCCGCTCGTTTGAGGTCATGACCGGTCGCGGCAAAGGTTCCCGTCTCGGTCAGCTTTTCGCTATCAAGCGTGTTTCTGATTGCGTGGACCTTTGTTTCATGACTCCCCTGCCTTTCATGAAAATTAAAGACAACTGCATCCTGCAGGAAAGCAGTAAAACTTCACATCACAACAACGGACGGGCAGCGTGTTTCTCATTCTCCGGGTTTTTCGCTTTGAACTCCTGCTCTCGGATGCATTCTTCACCCCAGTAAAACACGGTGTGCCAGATGAGGACGAGGTGCCGCTAATAGGCGTGCATGCTCTTTGATGATGTCACCAGGTTGATGCTTTGCGGATGTTCTACTAAAAGGGGTGTTGATATTGATGCACAAACACAAACGCGCACATGCTCTGCACATTTTCTCAAACCCGTTACATTTGGCTCTGTAACACGTGTGTGTCTGTTTCTGCTTTAATAAAACAATCCACTAGCTCATTATGATCTTAAATGTGCGTTTTTAGTGTTCCCTCATCTGCATTCTCATAAAAAGTATTTAGCTTTTCTTGGGGGGGGGTTGTTTAGCAGTTGAATTCAACACGTCTTTACAGACCTTCTGCGTTGCCTCGTAGTCCATCTTGAAGGCCCAGAGTTGCAGCCGAGCAGAGAGCTCGCTGATGGAGGACAGAGTCAGCAGGAACTGCTCCGCCGAGCCCAGCGGGACCTCAGGGTTGGCCAGCTGGGCTTCCTGGATTTTCTGCTTCTCCTCCTCCGTGGGGATCATCGTCAGGATTTTCTGAGGACGAAACGGCGTCAGCTGAGTCGAGGACGAGCCCCGCTTCCTTCCGTTACCTCCGACCCGCTGCGTCGCTCACCTCTATGCCCTCCTTGTTGAGGGCGTACTCGTCAAAGTTGAGGATGGCCGTCTTGATCGTGCGAGGAGGAGGCAGCACCGTCAGCCCGATGTTGATGGCGTTGCTCCTCTTGGAGTCCAAAACGATGACCTCCTGGCGCTTGCCGTCTGCTGCCGTTTTCTAGTACACAGAAATACAGAGAGCTTCACAGCTGGGTCTCCCTCGGGCCTCGCTCCGTTCCTTTTCCCTGGGTGGTCCGGTTTACGGGTTAGGATTAAAGGGATCACCCTCCAGGTTAAATTGGCTGCAGCCGCGGGAACTATATGACGCGTAGGAACAGGACACAGGCCAACAGTTCGGTACACACGGTGTGTGTTCACGTAGGTGTTTGTATTGTCCCTGCGTGTGAACAAAGCACCTCAAAAGCACTTGAGGTTATTAAAAGCATTAAATGGAAGGAAGTCGTAACATTTCAGCACTTAAAAGTGTAACAGAGTAGATCCTAAGACCTGATTACTGCCCCTGGTGAGTTATGTGCTCACCATGTGGAGACTGGGAGCCTGCAGCACAGCTGTAGCACAGTTAACACTTTATGCTGTTATGAAATGGAAATGACTGACCTCATTTTCAAAGAATACGTTAAAGAATAGGTTTTCATTTAATGTTAAATATGAGGCCAAAAAAAAAAAAACGGGTGCAATAAAACAAGCTCATACCGACCGCTTAGGTTTAAACCTACGTGAAATTGATGTGAACCTTGAAATCTCTCATCTTTAAAATCTAAAACACATACTTAATATTCTGATGGGCAACGTAAGGAAATCCATAAACCCTGAAGTGGAGGATCTGCTAGAACAATATCAGTAAAGTTCGCTCCAACCTTTGATGGCTTCAATATTCTGGTGGTCCTCTAAGTCCTGGATTCTCTCAACAGCTGACGGCTTTCCTTCAACTGTTTCGATATTCCTTGGAGCTTCAGACCACCATCACACCGTCACATTGTGTGAGGACCAGTGAGTTAACTGGTTCCACTCCAACAGGAGTTCAAAGTGTGAGAGGCCTGGATTCAGCCCCCCCACTTTTAACGGACCATACTTTTTTTATTTAGAGGCTTTGTGAGAATTACGAAGGACACCAAACTCAGAGCAAACGGGACCCCGATTAACCCTCAACACTTTTAACTTCAACACCAAACCCATGGACTTTGATGCCTGCAGAGGCAAATAGTTTGTAAGAAAACAGGTATTTCCATGAATCAGTCACCAAATATCAAATCTTTCGATCTGTTGTGGCGAACACTTTTGTCGGCCAAGAATTAAAAAATACACGGCATTTTATTTTGAAAATGCTGCATCACAGTTGTATGATCCACTCTCAACCCAATTACGATCAGACCATCATGTGTGACGTAAGTTGGGCGGTCCTTCCCTTTTAACAGCTTTGTACTTAATAGTTAGGAGGAAGTTAGTCAAGTAATACATTCAGTACCCCACAGTGAGACTATTGACCACTGTTACCAACCTCTTTGATGCCTCTTCAGGCACCGCTTCTTTACCTTTGTAACTGGTATTTCCTTTGATTTAGACTCAAACAGGTGTTCCAGTTTGGCCGTGTCGATTTTCACTGGTTCCAGTTTGGACCAGAATGTGTCTCCCCTCCGTTTGTAGTCCCGGTACTGAGAATCTTGCGGACGCACCTGATCAAAAAAACAAAGCTTTACTGAATTAGGTCGACGCATTTGGTTTGAAAGAGGTAAACGAGAGACTCTCTGAGTTCACAACAAAGTAAAACGAAGGAATAGTTCCCAGTGAACGACGGAGGAGGTGATTGTATCTTGACTCACCTCGCTCCAGAACAGCCTGATTGTCTTCTTCTTCTTATTAAAGAGCGGCTGCTCCGGGGGAGGAGGCATTTGGGCGCCAAAGGAAGGAGCCTGAGGAGGCAGCATCATCCCAATCGGGGGCGGGGGCGGGGGGCAGCCGCCGAGCACGGGCGGGGGCGGAGGGAGGCGGGGGAGGCACGGCGGAGGGGGCGGCGGGGGCGGGTGGTCGCCGCATCCTCCCATCAGAACAGCATCCAGAATGTCTTTGTCGTCGTCCTCCGTCAGGTCGGTGAAGTTGATGTCCCCGATGCGCAGCTCTCGAGGGCTGGCCAGGAGCTGGTCCCAGATGGTGTCCGATTCCTTCTTGGGCGGGGGCGGACGGGGAGGAGGAGGAGGAGGAGGAGGGGCCTCGGGGGCCGCCACCTCCGGGTGAGGCGGGGCCGAGCCGAGGTCCTTGATCAGCGCGCCGAAGCGCTCGGCGAACGGCCGGATGGTCCGGTGGGGCTCCGGCTTGTCGTCCCTGCTCTCTTGGTCGCCGGCCGGTTGCACACCGGCGGCCCGCTGGGCTTCTTTGTCCTCCTCGCCCTCTCCTTCCTCCTTCTCCTTCTCCGCGTCCTCTGCTTCCTCCTCCTCCTCCTCGCTGGGCTTCTTGTTCTGGGAGAACAGCATGTCCAGCATGAAGAGCTTGCTGTTGAGGAGTTTGCTGCACTGGTCGTTCACCTCCGGCTCCTTGAAGCCTGAGAAGAGGAGCACAACAACGTTTGAGGCCGCGATGGACTTTTTGCTCCGGACTTGCGCTCACTAATCCATTGTGTTGCAAATATTCCGCACATTAAAGCTGACTGCAATGGAGTCAAGCAGTGTAAAACGGTACATTAGCTGAAACTATTCTGACGTTAAACCCTTAAAAACCTCGGATGGAACCACCCACCGTTGTCATTGCTCCCCCTCTCCTCTCTCTCCAGAGTGCTGCTGGCCGAGGAGATGCTGGAGGCCGAGCAGTTGTCCTTCTCATTCACTTCCTCATTCTGCCGCTCTTTGTCGCTCAGGATGCCGCTGTCCTCCTCCGCCTCCTCCTTCTCCGCTTCCCGCTCGGACTGTTCACCTTCCTCCTCCTTCTCTGTGGCTGCCTCGTCCTGTGCTTCCTCCTCTTTCTGTTCTTCCTCCTCTTCCTCGGTGGCTTCTTTTTCCTCTGCTTCTGCACTGGACTCCTCAGCCTCCGCTGTGAAAAGTATAAAACGGTCTTTCTTCATTCCCTAAAATGCCCATTTACTACATGCAGAGAAATACCGTCTGAAACGTGTGACCTGCTCTTTGATTTCTGCGACGCCCCAATAAGAAAAACACACCAGGTACAGAAGGCCCGGTTGTTGTTGGCCCAGGGATATGGACAGGAAATGAAGAGCAAAGAAGTTCCTGTTTGTGTCGAAACACACGCGACCACGTTGCTCCACAGCACAGCGCTGTGCAGTGATGCACGCGGGGTTAAAATAACACCACGCCGCGAGGCCTCGTACACCCACCTAAGTGGGCCACAGTACCTCAGCTCATGGCCCCTGCGTGCGCTCGGCTCCAAAACAAGGCTCATTTTCTTACCCGCGTGTGTTTTGGAATTCCTTTTTCAAACAGGCCTTTCAAAAACCCATTTGGCCCTTTCACCCGTATCCTCTCTCTCTGTGTGTGTTGTCCCCCTCCCCATCCCCCGACCCTTGATGGCGTCCCCTCCTCTCCCTCGGTATTTTCTCGCAATCGGTCTCGCCCCTTCTTCAGGCTGCATGCTAATTCAAACGGGAGGCTGCAAAATGAAACAATTTAAGGTTAAGAGTGATCGCTTTGGGGCCTTCTGCTTTTAATTATACGTATTGACCAGCGGGATCAAAGTCGTGCAAATGCACTTTGCCATTTTGTCTTTGACACACACACACACTTAGTGTCGGAACTGCTTTTTCTTTGCTGTTATTGTGACAACAACAGCGATTAAACAATGGCCATTAAACATATTTATATTTGGGAGCAACCTATCTACATAGTGCTGGATGACTGTGGAATCCGGCCTTCTCACGCAGGAAGCGATGTGTTTGTTGAAATCCGTCCTCAACGCATCGTCTCATTGCTGTTAACGCCGAGAGAAGTCGCTCATCCACCCAAGACAAATGTGCTCATTTTAACCATTTCACTGGACAGTGAACCAGTTTTAAACATAACAGAGCAAACAGCACTTAAGAGAGGAAACCAACTCTCCTTACTTTGCCCTGCTGGTGTGATTCATGAAACTACCGACATTGTTGTTACAGGACTAGCAGGGTAACGTCACATTTCAAGGGGCCGCAGGCTACAGAATTATAATTAAGTCCCCTAAACAAACAGTGGAGATTTTTACTTGTTAATCCCCCCCAACGCGGTTCTCGGTGGTCCTACCTCTCTCGGAGGGCGCGTAGGGGGCAGCGGCGGCGGTTTCGGCTTCGAGGTCAGCCTCCGCGTCCTCCTGGGAGGCAAAGGAGGACGGGGTGCTGCTGCGCGATGACGAGGGCCAGGCCTCCGCGGGTTCAAAGGTCAGGGCGAGGTCAGGGCGAGTCCTCGACACCCGCACGTGCTCCCGCTCGTACTCCTCCGCCGCCAGACGCTCTACGTTCTTGTACCTGGGGGAGAAGGAGCGAGAGGGAGGATCAGAGGAGGCAGGGCGCGAAGAGGGAGCAAGGGACAACGCGCCTCCTGTCTAGGTTCCATCAGCAGGGCCGCACGCAGTGTTGGCCATTGCCATACAAACAAATCGCCCGAACAACAAACCACTCAAGCGTGTTTTCCCGAAATTATCCACAAACTCGCAGAGGGGGGGGGGACGACGACGGGAATCAGAGTAAACCTGTTCAAGATGTGCCTCCATCGGCTCTCCTCCCTTTGCCTCCCTTTTCGCTCTCCGGTCCGAATCTCTCTCTCCCCCCCTCCCAAACTTCAGCAGACACCCTGCCAGCCAGAACAAAGATTTAGGCCACTGAGTCGGCCGTTTTTCTCTCTCTCTCTCTTTCTAACCCCTCCTCTTTCCCACCATACCATGAATGTGTAGCGCTTCTGTTCAGAGTTCATTAGCATCCGGCCACTTCAGAGGTCTGAGACAACTGGATACCAACGCGGGCGCGTGCGTGCGTGTGTGTGTTTGTCTGTTTGTGCGCCCGATCGAGAGGGATGCAAGTGAGTCAACAATGTGTGATTTTGCCAAACACCTGCAATGTGTCTTTAAATCCTTAATCACGTAAAAGGGTTGAGTTGGCGATCTGCTGAGCTGAACCGAGCAGACCGATTAAAAGGGTAGAGAACCTGGTCGATCTCCCCAGTGGATACATCTCCCACTCAGCAGCTCATCTCCCGCTCCGGCTTTCTGTCTCTGGATCAAACCGAATCAGACTGAATCGAGTTTGTTCAGCCATCACGCTCTCCAGTGGATCCCCTGTTTCCTGTGATTCCCTTTTGCACACAGAAAATATATATTTATGGTCTTTAAAAGTTTATGTGCTCGAGCGAAATGCGTGTCCTCCAGTGCGAAAAGCCCGACCGAAGCCAGAACCATCAGGCACTTGGCACAGCGCGCAGCTTAGAATCCAGGCGGAGAGAGAAAAGAAAATCGGTTCCGTCGAGCCCCGACCTCTCTAACCTGCAAACAATTACACTGTTACCGAGCTACCCCCCCGGCCGGCGGCTGAAACACACCGTGCAGGTTCAGCTGTTGTGCGAGTGCGTGTTGTTTTTCGATTTAGTGCACAGACCCACCTCTCCTCCCGCGCATGCCGAGCCTCCTCCATCTTATCCACGTAGCCGCGGCTGTGAGAGACACAAGCAGAACATTTCAAAACACGACAATCGTACCCTGTGTGAAAATGGCACGGCACAGTAGTGGAGTAACGCGTAATTCCTTATTTCTATTGTGTATGTATTAACCCTTGTTGATGAATCAAGTTCAGATATTTTCAATTATTTGTTTATGTAGTCATAGGTACTTATATTGTCCTTGCTTTGATATGTATTGATTGTACAAGACAAACAGCAGCTCCAAAGGACGTCTCACTTGTTAGAAATGTGCTGATATCAATGAGTGTTTTCATGGAAGGTTTATTATTGGACTTTTGTTTGCTATTTTGAGTTTCCACTGGTTCCCCTGCAACTTAAATGAAACCTATATTGTTAACTTATTCATTATAACCTTATTTATCATGGGACACTTCCTGGAGTTGTTATCTCTGTCCGTAATCTCTCTCATCTCTAACTGTGCAGAGATCTTTGTAAAAAAGTCACCTGTGCTTGTTCCTCTCCTCTCTCTCTATGCGCTGCAGTCTCTCCTCTCTCTCCACTCGGCGGCGCTCTCGCTCGGCCGCCAGAGACTCCTGGTGTTGTCGGTACGAGGAGGAGAGAAGACCTCCCAGAGCCGGCCTGAAGGAAGGAGCCAGAGAGGAATACAACGCTTTGATTACACAGCCGCACAGATGCTGTGATTCTCAAGCGCCATTTGGTTTTGAAGCACTCCACCTGTCTTTGATAAAAGGCAGATAATTGTACGAAAGGCCTCGTACCTCGTTGAAATGATGTTTGCTTTTACTCTACTCTCAGAATATTTCACCATTGCTGCATGAATGGGCCACTGGGCCCATGAACAGGAACCAGGATTCAGCAATTTCTGCTGGTTTTAATTTTTAATATTATAATCCATTATAATATTTGGGCCAAACTCTTTCACCTGGAGCTGGTGGGCGTACTTGGGGAGCTGAGGGAGGAGCAGGACATGTGACCTCCATTCCTTAGGAGACGGGGGGAGAAAACGGGTGACAGTGAGCACATCGGAAACACATTTGACGCCTCGTTACGTAACAGCAACGCCGTTGGCGCTTCGCTGATTCATTACGGCTGTGTTTTTATTTCCCCTGTGCTTCTGGAAGGTTCCACTATGAATGTGAAGATACACTTTGCCAAAGTGTAATTATCCTGACAAGTTATTTAGTCCGGCAAACAAGCAAACTGTACAGAGCGCTGACACTAAAACACAGAGGTAAATTAGTGTAAATGTTCATAATTATTAGCAGACGGGACAGTGAGTCAATGTAGAATGATCACAACTTCATATCTAAACACAGTCCAAATCCAACAGGTAACAAATCCTGCACACTTTCCCACCAAGTGGTGAAAAGAAGCGAAGGGCTGTGGAACAAAGCGGATATTGCAAACAGGTGTGAACTGCCGACGCATCGAAAGAGCTGGGAAACAGTGACGTGAAGGAAACAATAGGTGATAATAAGAGGGTTGACAGGCTGAAGGTGTGAAGCCGTTAAGTCGAAGAAGTGAGGGGAACTGATGAAGAGTGAAGGTGATGAAAAAACAAAGAAGGTGCAAAGAAATCCAAGGTGGTGAAAAGCCAAAAGCCAGAAAAGCGAAGTGGAAATTAAAAGGGTACAAGTAGAAAATCGGAGAGCTGCAAGGAAAAGCTTTCTGTGCTTCTCGGTGTCTCGGGAGATGGAGTTCTCCTGTCCGACCTGACCTGGGAGAAGGTGCTTTGGGAGACTCTTGGCTGGGCTTTGGCGCAGCCGGGGGCGACGGCTCTTCGTCGAGGTCGTAGGAGAAGAGGTGGAAGGGCGACTGAGGCATGTAAGGCAGCCGTTCGAGGGTGGGACGGCAGCTGCCCCGTGATGGCGGGCTGACCTCCTTGGTAGCCGGGACGGTGACGGTGGACCGCTTCCTGGCCAGCAGGCTTGCCAGGAAGGAGGGTTGTGCTGGGGGGCTGAGAGGAGAAGAGAAGGTGGGAGTAGACGGAGAGACGGCGGGTGCTGGAGGTGGTTCAGTCCGATTCCTTTGCTCCTCCTCTTTTATATCCTCCTTTCTGGAAGTGATGGTGATGGACTGGACGGTCGTCCGGTGAACTATGGTTGGAAGGTGCCTGACCGGGTTAGGAACAAAAGGGGATGGATTGAGAGGAGCAAATGGATGGAACTGGAACAATAGAGTAGAAGCTGCACCATGTATAACCCACCGACACACTGAATAAGGCGGATAAGCCACAAGGAGATCAAACCAACCGGACACACAACCAAAAACGGGAACAACTCAAATGAATCGCTTTGTGGCTTTAAATACAGACCGCCTATTTTTCACAAGACCACAGGCCATAACTTAGTTTATTTGTTGCCACTATGTCCTAAAATACCTGAGGGTGGTCAGTTTAGACACTGTATCAGCCCCCTCCTGCTCATCCGAATCAGACTCAGTCTCAGGAGTCTCCTCTTCCTCCTCCTCCTCCTCTATCCCATCATCACATTCTTCCTCTCTGTGGAGGCAGGGTGGGGAAGGATGAATGGATGGTCGAGTGGAACATTTTGAGGGGAGGATTGAGGGAGAGATGATGCGATACAAAAGACAAGCGTGCAAAATGGAAATACCCGCATTTTTTAAGAAATGAAGAGACAGAAGAGAGCAAAACGTTGGAGGGAGAGACGGAGGGTTAGATGGGAACATTGTGTTTGAAATCATATTAAAAGCTGTACAATGAAATCACAAAAGCATTGATGACGTTTAAAGACAAGAGAGTAGCACAAAGACAGGGGATTAGGTGACCGAAAGGGTGTAAATAAAGAAAAAACACATAAATAAATCAAACAGGGCCTGGGAGAGGGGGGGGGAGGGGGGCTGAATGTTTCACATTTCACAGTTCATGTCCCCGGGGAGGCAGTTTTACATGCAGAAGTAGATGTTGACATGAAAAGGGACAGGAATGTTGAAAGGAGAATCATCCAAAGCTGAAGAACGGCCTTGAGATTCGCCCAACAGCTTCGCCCATCGAAACCATATGAACCTTGTTGCAGTCGAGTTGTTCCATTGGACCAGAGCCATGTGTGTGTGGGGGACAAATGGGACAGCCGACGCAACTTTTTAAAAAGTTTTTTCTTTTGTTAAAGTTTTTTCTTTTTTTTAAGTTTTTTCTTTTTTTTCTTTTTTTCCGCGCTTGCATAATGTGAAGCAGCCTCTCACTTCCACTCAATCAATGCATTCAATCTACCAGACGCAAGTGGCTCACTCACTCACAATTCAATTTCGAGATACAAACGTGTGCTAGAATGCGCACCGACATCATTCGGGCACCTTACAAACTGACGGGATAAGAGACGAAGTAATGACGACGTAAAGAGGAAAGATTTACCTGATGTCAGCAGCTACAGCCGGCTCTAAATTGCCCTTTTTGTGTGTACACACAGTCCTTAAAGAAGCATTCGCTTGTTTAATAAAGTGAAAGCTTGTATTAGAACAACCAACCATTTCATTGGTTTATTTGGAGCACAACTCTGCACTAGTATTTCCATGCATGTAGGTGAGGAGCCGGTGTGTGGGAAGCCTTTGAACTTACATGGATGGAAGGAACCCTGACAGTGCTCTGGAGCAGAAAGACAGTCAGTGCGTCCCTTTGGGTTCAGTTAAAGGGAACTTAAAATGTGGCACCCAATCAATTCTTTTCACCTGCTAGAAACCGACACCTTCGTGACACTTTTTTAAAACGTCCCTACAACGTGTTGATCCTTGATCTTCCCGCGCGTCTCACCTCTCGCTCGTGTCCTCGGCTCTCTGTCCGTTGAACGGCGGGAGGCCGGCCCTCTGCGGGGACGCCGGGCTGCAGGGCGAGGCCTGACCCGACCGCCCGAGAGAGGCCCTGCGGCTCCGCCTCCTCTCGAGGCCGCACCTTTTGTCGCCGCCCCCGACGCTGACTCGCCGGCGGTCCCGGCGTCCAATCGGGGGAGGCTGGCTGTCGTCGTCACCATCTTCGTGCTGTAGGGACATCTGGAGGAAAAGTGGGATCGGGGAGGTGTGACGGAGAACCGACGTTTTTAAGCTAACGTACTTTAAGGCGTCCCTATTCATTGGATGCGAGGAGCACTCAATGGAAAAGATCTTGCATAAAACTGGCAAGATCAGCTATCAGCTGGCAATATCTTCCCTCGTGTCCCGAACCTCATAGATGTTGAGCTGCTCAACCAGGTCCAGATCCGTGCCTTTCCTCCCCAGATGTCTTTGGGTCACTGTCTCCATGCCTTGTTCCTCCAGACCATCGACCATGTCGTAAAACGAGTCCTGATCGGGCAGCGCTGCAAGCGTCTGCAGAAAGAAAAGGAGACCGATAAGTCTTCACCCGGATGAATTTAGTCATTTACGCCACTGACGGTAACGTCTGTATCTGTTTCCTTCTGTTTCACAAATTCCCACCACGAAAGTAAAATGAAATAAAGTAATGCAAAACTATATAAACATTCAGTAAGTAGACACTAGGGACACGGGCACCTTATTGATGAGGGTCATGGCGTAGACCAGCAACTCTGTGTCCACTCCGTCCTTCTCATGCAGAATCTCCATCGTATTGGACCACGGCTTGCACCCTAAATGGAAATAAGTCCATCACAAATACTCTCGATGCAACCGCCCGTCCTCATAAATTTCCACTGACCAAAAAGTTACCGTAACTAAGACATGCTAATGAATGACAGCGAGCTCCCGAGCAGCTAGCGCCACGTTGACAGATTTAATACCTCTCTTGGTTTCCACAGAGGTGATGGCGTCTATCAGCAGTGGGGCGTTGGACTCGGAGTATTCGACGAACACCAACAGCAGCTTCAGAGTGGTTTTCACCACCAGACGGAACTAGAGAGGTAAATAAATACCCGCTTCCTGGCCAGCAGGCTTGCCAGGAAGGAGGGTTGTGCTGGGGGGCTGAGAGGAGAAGAGAAGGTGGGAGTAGACGGAGAGACGGCGGGTGCTGGAGGTGGTTCAGTCCGATTCCTTTGCTCCTCCTCTTTTATATCCTCCTTTCTGGAAGTGATGGTGATGGACTGGACGGTCGTCCGGTGAACTATGGTTGGAAGGTGCCTGACCGGGTTAGGAACAAAAGGGGATGGATTGAGAGGAGCAAATGGATGGAACTGGAACAATAGAGTAGAAGCTGCACCATGTATAACCCACCGACACACTGAATAAGGCGGATAAGCCACAAGGAGATCAAACCAACCGGACACACAACCAAAAACGGGAACAACTCAAATGAATCGCTTTGTGGCTTTAAATACAGACCGCCTATTTTTCACAAGACCACAGGCCATAACTTAGTTTATTTGTTGCCACTATGTCCTAAAATACCTGAGGGTGGTCAGTTTAGACACTGTATCAGCCCCCTCCTGCTCATCCGAATCAGACTCAGTCTCAGGAGTCTCCTCTTCCTCCTCCTCCTCCTCTATCCCATCATCACATTCTTCCTCTCTGTGGAGGCAGGGTGGGGAAGGATGAATGGATGGTCGAGTGGAACATTTTGAGGGGAGGATTGAGGGAGAGATGATGCGATACAAAAGACAAGCGTGCAAAATGGAAATACCCGCATTTTTTAAGAAATGAAGAGACAGAAGAGAGCAAAACGTTGGAGGGAGAGACGGAGGGTTAGATGGGAACATTGTGTTTGAAATCATATTAAAAGCTGTACAATGAAATCACAAAAGCATTGATGACGTTTAAAGACAAGAGAGTAGCACAAAGACAGGGGATTAGGTGACCGAAAGGGTGTAAATAAAGAAAAAACACATAAATAAATCAAACAGGGCCTGGGAGAGGGGGGGGGAGGGGGGCTGAATGTTTCACATTTCACAGTTCATGTCCCCGGGGAGGCAGTTTTACATGCAGAAGTAGATGTTGACATGAAAAGGGACAGGAATGTTGAAAGGAGAATCATCCAAAGCTGAAGAACGGCCTTGAGATTCGCCCAACAGCTTCGCCCATCGAAACCATATGAACCTTGTTGCAGTCGAGTTGTTCCATTGGACCAGAGCCATGTGTGTGTGGGGGACAAATGGGACAGCCGACGCAACTTTTTAAAAAGTTTTTTCTTTTGTTAAAGTTTTTTCTTTTTTTTAAGTTTTTTCTTTTTTTTCTTTTTTTCCGCGCTTGCATAATGTGAAGCAGCCTCTCACTTCCACTCAATCAATGCATTCAATCTACCAGACGCAAGTGGCTCACTCACTCACAATTCAATTTCGAGATACAAACGTGTGCTAGAATGCGCACCGACATCATTCGGGCACCTTACAAACTGACGGGATAAGAGACGAAGTAATGACGACGTAAAGAGGAAAGATTTACCTGATGTCAGCAGCTACAGCCGGCTCTAAATTGCCCTTTTTGTGTGTACACACAGTCCTTAAAGAAGCATTCGCTTGTTTAATAAAGTGAAAGCTTGTATTAGAACAACCAACCATTTCATTGGTTTATTTGGAGCACAACTCTGCACTAGTATTTCCATGCATGTAGGTGAGGAGCCGGTGTGTGGGAAGCCTTTGAACTTACATGGATGGAAGGAACCCTGACAGTGCTCTGGAGCAGAAAGACAGTCAGTGCGTCCCTTTGGGTTCAGTTAAAGGGAACTTAAAATGTGGCACCCAATCAATTCTTTTCACCTGCTAGAAACCGACACCTTCGTGACACTTTTTTAAAACGTCCCTACAACGTGTTGATCCTTGATCTTCCCGCGCGTCTCACCTCTCGCTCGTGTCCTCGGCTCTCTGTCCGTTGAACGGCGGGAGGCCGGCCCTCTGCGGGGACGCCGGGCTGCAGGGCGAGGCCTGACCCGACCGCCCGAGAGAGGCCCTGCGGCTCCGCCTCCTCTCGAGGCCGCACCTTTTGTCGCCGCCCCCGACGCTGACTCGCCGGCGGTCCCGGCGTCCAATCGGGGGAGGCTGGCTGTCGTCGTCACCATCTTCGTGCTGTAGGGACATCTGGAGGAAAAGTGGGATCGGGAGGTGTGACGGAGAACCGACGTTTTTAAGCTAACGTACTTTAAGGCGTCCTATTCATTGGATGCGAGGAGCACTCAATGGAAAAGATCTTGCATAAAACTGGCAAGATCAGCTATCAGCTGGCAATATCTTCTCTCGTGTCCCGAACCTCATAGATGTTGAGCTGCTCAACCAGGTCCAGATCTGTGCCTTTCCTCCCCAGATGTCTTTGGGTCACTGTCTCCATGCCTTGTTCCTCCAGACCATCGACCATGTCGTAAAACGAGTCCTGATCGGGCAGCGCTGCAAGTGTCTGCAGAAAGAAAAGGAGACCGATAAGTCTTCACCCGGATGAATTTAGTCATTTACGCCACTGACGGTGACGTCTGTATCTGTTTCCTTTTGTTTCACAAATTCCCACCACGAAAGTAAAATGAAATAAAGTAATGCAAAAGTATATAAACATTCAGTAAGTAGACACTAGGGACACGGGCACCTTATTGATGAGGGTCATGGCGTAGACCAGCAGCTCTGTGTCCACTCCGTCCTTCTCATGCAGAATCTCCATCGTATTGGACCACGGCTTGCACCCTAAATGGAAATAAGTCCATCACAAATACTCTCGATGCAACCGCCCGTCCTCATAAATTTCCACTGACCAAAAAGTTACCGTAACTAAGACATGCTAATGAATGACAGCGAGCTCCCGAGCAGCTAGCGCCACGTTGACAGATTTAATACCTCTCTTGGTTTCCACAGAGGTGATGGCGTCTATCAGCAGTGGGGCGTTGGACTCGGAGTATTCGACGAACACCAACAGCAGCTTCAGAGTGGTTTTCACCACCAGACGGAACTAGAGAGGTAAATAAATACACGCTTCCTGGCCAGCAGGCTTGCCAGGAAGGAGGGTTGTGCTGGGGGGCTGAGAGGAGAAGAGAAGGTGGGAGTAGACGGAGAGACGGCGGGTGCTGGAGGTGGTTCAGTCCGATTCCTTTGCTCCTCCTCTTTTATATCCTCCTTTCTGGAAGTGATGGTGATGGACTGGACGGTCGTCCGGTGAACTATGGTTGGAAGGTGCCTGACCGGGTTAGGAACAAAAGGGGATGGATTGAGAGGAGCAAATGGATGGAACTGGAACAATAGAGTAGAAGCTGCACCATGTATAACCCACCGACACACTGAATAAGGCGGATAAGCCACAAGGAGATCAAACCAACCGGACACACAACCAAAAACGGGAACAACTCAAATGAATCGCTTTGTGGCTTTAAATACAGACCGCCTATTTTTCACAAGACCACAGGCCATAACTTAGTTTATTTGTTGCCACTATGTCCTAAAATACCTGAGGGTGGTCAGTTTAGACACTGTATCAGCCCCCTCCTGCTCATCCGAATCAGACTCAGTCTCAGGAGTCTCCTCTTCCTCCTTCTCCTCCTCCTCCTCCTCTATCCCATCATCACATTCTTCCTCTCTGTGGAGGCAGGGTGGGGAAGGATGAATGGATGGTCGAGTGGAACATTTTGAGGGGAGGATTGAGGGAGAGATGATGCGATACAAAAGACAAGCGTGCAAAATGGAAATACCCGCATTTTTTAAGAAATGAAGAGACAGAAGAGAGCAAAACGTTGGAGGGAGAGACGGAGGGTTAGATGGGAACATTGTGTTTGAAATCATATTAAAAGCTGTACAATGAAATCACAAAAGCATTGATGACGTTTAAAGACAAGAGAGTAGCACAAAGACAGGGGATTAGGTGACAGAAAGGGTGTAAATAAAGAAAAAACACATAAATAAATCAAACAGGGCCTGGGAGAGGGGGGGGAGGGGGGCTGAATGTTTCACATTTCACAGTTCATGTCCCCGGGGAGGCAGTTTTACATGCAGAAGTAGATGTTGACATGAAAAGGGACAGGAATGTTGAAAGCAAAATCATCCAAAGCTGAAGAACGGCCTTGAGATTCGCCCAACAGCTTCGCCCATCGAAACCATATGAACCTTGTTGCAGTCGAGTTGTTCCATTGGACCAGAGCCATGTGTGTGTGGGGGACAAATGGGACGGCCGACGCAACTTTTTAAAAAGTTTTTTCTTTTGTTAAAGTTTTTTCTTTTTTTAAAGTTTTTTCTTTTTTTCCGCGCTTGCATAATGTGAAGCAGCCTCTCACTTCCACTCAATCAATGCATTCAATCTACCAGACGCAAGTGGCTCACTCACTCACAATTCAATTTCGAGATACAAACGTGTGCTAGAATGCGCACCGACATCATTCGGGCACCTTACAAACTGACGGGATAAGAGACGAAGTAATGAGGACGTAAAGAGGAACGATTTACCTGATGTCAGCAGCTACAGCCGGCTCTAAATTGCCCTTTTTGTGTGTACACACAGTCCTTAAAGAAGCATTCGCTTGTTTAATAAAGTGAAAGCTTGTATTAGAACAACCAACCATTTCATTGGTTTATTTGGAGCACAACTCTGCACTAGTATTTCCATGCATGTAGGTGAGGAGCCGGTGTGTGGGAAGCCTTTGAACTTACATGGACGGAAGGAACCCTGACAGTGCTCTGGAGCAGAAAGACAGTCAGTGCGTCCCTTTGGGTTCAGTTAAAGGGAACTTAAAATGTGGCACCCAATCAATTCTTTTCACTGCTAGAAACCGACACCTTCGTGACACTTTTTAAAACGTCCCTA